CAGATCGCAAAGAGCTTTTAAGCTCTCAATTCGCAAAGAGCTCTTGAGTTCTCAGATCAAAGCTTTTTATGCTCTTTGATCGAGCTCATAAGCTTGCTCATTTGCTTGAGACCGCACACTGTTGATTGTTCAGATCGCACGCCTCAAGCTCTCAGGTCGAGCCCCTATCAGATCGTGATTAGCTCTTAGCTCTCAAATCGCGATTAGCTCAGAGATTGCAAATAGCCTCAGGTCGTTTTCTCAGCTCTCAGATCACGATCAATTCTTAGTTCTCAGGTCGCAAATAGCCTCAGGTCATTTTCTCAGCTTTCAGATCATGATCAGTTCATAGTTCTCAGGTCGCAACCAGTTGCCAGTGTCAGAAAAAAACGTGTAGAAAACTCAAAACAACCCAAAAACATATTGAAATAGTGGATTTTAGCCTCGAACATGGCCCTAACTAGATTCCCCTATTTCCACGATGTAGAGCTTGGAACGAGCTTTCTGTGGATATCATACGAGCTGCAAAATTCCTCCCGGATCAAAAGTTATGGCTATTTTTAATTGACTTGTCCGTTTAAGGCCTCTAAGCCGTGTATTTGGGCTTTTGACGTTAGCTCTCTCCAGGAATTCATCTACTAGACATTTTATGTTAGTTCTCAGATCGTGCTTAGCTTCGGATCGCTCCAAGCTCTTAGATCGAAATCTTAGCTCTCAGCACTTGATTATGCCAGGCATAGTTCGATCTCTTTAGTTCGAGACTATAGCCTATAGTGCAACAGTTATTCAGATCTAAGACATGAGTTTTTGAAGTGCGATTATGCACTCCAAAAACTGGGGGGGGGGGGGGGGGGGGGGGGGGGGGGGGGGGGGGTTCTGTTGTGCCAAAAATACATACTAATGTCAGCACCATTAATCAGAATTCAACCAACACTTGGAGATAAGGTGACATTAGCTGTCAACAACCCAAACCGCCTCCAAGAGATATTTTATATCAATCCTATCATATTTTAAGATAAGGATTAAGGAGTGGTCCCCACGTGTCAAGACAGCTTGCAAAATCACTCATTATATTGACTTTAAAGGTACAAATGAACACCTTTCTTTGTGAAAAAGGGGCTGGTTGGGCATATGAGAGCTAGACAAACATTTGAGCTTTATTATTTTTTCTCTGTAAACAAAACATTTCTCCATTCTTTGTACGCCTTACAGGCAATATCAGAAAAATAGCGAGAGAATAATAAAATAATAGTGGATGTAAGATTCGCTTTAAGCATTCGAACCACTATAAAAATCTCTCTTGTCAATCTATTATTTATGTTTCTACAAACATATATAATATTTGCATCATAAATACTTCTCATAAATTATTCACGTATAATTTCTAAGAGTTATTTAACACTTTGCACGTGCGAGTCGTTAGTGTCAAAATCAAGCATCAACAAGATCTAATAATAAATATTTAATCCTAACAATTAACATTAGTGCTAGATCAAGGGTTTGATTTCCTTGAGAGGAAGTGTTGGGTCAAATGATTTTCATTATAAATCTTATATTCAACGTTACCAATCTTTGTTATCTATACGGAGATCATACATCCTATATAAAATTATATATTTATATAATAAAATGAGATAATCTTTCTCTTTCTCTCGTGATTTTTCTTCAAGTAGAAGAATAAGAACAAAAATCCTATTTGTAAACTCCATAAATTCCTATTAAGTGGACCCAAATTGGTGCATTGAATTTCATACAAGATGGTTCCAAAATTTCAAGTTTAGTCATCCTCAAAGGTGGAGGCAAGAAATGGTTCCTAGAGTTTCCTCCAAATTGTTGCCACATGACATGATTTAGACATATCATATGTTGCGTAGTTTTCACCTTAATTTTATGGTCTTTTTGTCCCCTCTCTTTAGGCCCTACTTGGGTTTTTAGTTTTTTTTGCTTTAGTATTGCTTTTATAATCAGGATTATGATTATATGATTACATTTTTTTATTATCAAGTTACTTTCGTAAGTTCGAAAAAAGTTACGAAAGAAATTCAATCAGTTTCATCTTTTTATGAACATAATTATAGGTAAAATAAATTAACTATCTCTAAATGACCGAGTGGTTTGATAGAGATTATTGGGTGTATTATTGAAGAGGTGAGTTTGAGCTACTAGAGCTTTTACCCGATTGGTAGTTCCAAGGTCTTGGGGGATTAATTGAATTGCACATAAGCTGACCCGGACACCCTTGGTCATAAAAAAGAAAAAATTTATATGTCAAAATCTGTTCACACTAAAATGAACGAGATGATAAGGTTACTTTGGTAAATTCAATAAAATTCATCATTTGACGATTAGCAAATGGGGTCCAAAAGGGTTTTTCACCATTGATGGATTAAAATGCAATAAATGAAAAAGGAATTTTGATGTAGGAACAGCCTTTCTCAAATTTATAATGAGGTTTGTTAGAAAATAGAAACAATTAATTTAAAGATTGTTTGGAAGACAACTACTATGTAGACCCAACTTTTAGTTTGCAAGGGCCATGTGGTTGGTAAAGAGTCATTTTATTCCAAAAGTGCTTCTTGACTTCTTGTCAAATTAGTTGCCATCATTTCACCTAGCTCATTTTACATAGTCAAAAGAATCAAGATCCAAAGTCTTTAAATTACATTATGGAAATTAAGTATGTAGAAATTAGGTGCATTTGGGATGCTTTTGGTTGTGGTGTTGTTAGAAATTGTTTTCAAACAGTAAAACAAAAAGCACTTTTTTTGTTGTTTTTTCTAGTGTTTGGTTAACTCAATATATATATAAACTCAAGCACTCCATAGAACTTAACCAAAGAAAAAAAAAAAAGGGTTTTAAATAATTATAAAATTCGAATATGTCATTTAGTGACAGGATTATACCAAAAGTTAATTTCAATCAAATTTCTCATATTATAAGTCTGAATTAAGAAAAAAAACAGAAAAAGACGTTTGTAGAAAAGAATGAAAGTTTAAATTATATAAACACATATATATTGCAATTTTGCATTGCCTTAAAAAGTGCTTTTGGCAGAAGTGCTACTAATGTGAGGAGACACAAAATATTGTCAAACACACCTTGCTTAAACATGTTTGTTTGTTTTTTTTCCTTGTAACTTTGACCAATAAAATGAAGTGTGCTTGAAGATTAAAAGAATAAAGTAAATACAACTAGCAAGCAGTCTTCATTTGATAATAAATTCTTTGAAGACCAAATGATGGGCACTCATGTGCTAGAATATGAAACACAATCATGGTAATCAAGCCATGCATATGCCATTCCTTTTCCATTTTTCTAATGTGGGCATTTTTTTTGGCCGAGACATAGAGCCTGTTTGGTCGAGCTTATCAAAATTAGCTTATAAGCAGTTAGTGTTTATATAAGATAATTTGAGTTTATAAACATTTAAAATTTAAGTAATTACGTGTTTGATTAAAATACTTATAAATGACTGATAAGTAGTTTACGCGTTTTTATTATTAAAATGATTAAAAAAATACACTACATTATTTTATATGATGGGTAATATAGTAATATACGTAATCAAAGTAACTTATAAGTAGAGTGTAAGAAAAAAAAAAAAAAAAAGGTTATAAACAAACATGCCAGTTTGATTTTAGAGCTTACTCTTATATATATTTATTTTTACATTTACTGATTTTATAAATTAAATTACTGACCCGCTCACTAGGGATGTGGGATATGACATGTATAACCACTGGATTGTTGTGAAATTGATATATTTATACCAATAAATGAGGGGTTGTGGGAGTTATATCAAGAACTTAATATATTTGATCCAAAGGTCTGCATGTTCTTCCAATACGAAGGTTTGCATCAGAGAAAAACAATATATTATTCCATATGAATGTTTATATTTTTATAAAATGTATGTAGCACCGACTCTGATTTTTGTTTGGTTAGCAGGAAAATGGACAGTGGAATTTGGTTGACATAGGATACCTTAAGGATAACATGAAATCTTCTACTCTGGTAGTGTCAGTATATATGGCAAAAGACAAGTTCTCTGAATCTCAAACTTGGTCTCCTTTAGGACAAAAGGATCAGTTTCTTATTATACATTTTTTAAATAACAATAAATTAAAAAAATTCATTTGAACTTGGATTCTGTTGAAAGTATAAAATATTATTTGATCTTGTAAATTGATTAAACTTTGTAGAATGGAATAACTTACGAACCCTATATTCAAATTTACTTAAGATAAAATAAAAAATTAATGATATTAAACCCCGAAATTTGATTAAATAACAATAATCTTTCCGGGTTTCTGAAATAATAAAAATCTTCGTTAAATATTAGACGCTAAAATAAATGATAGAAGGGTAATTTGATAACTATATATAAATTTAAAATAATGTAAGCTTTAATGGCTTACTATTTACGAACAAGAGAATAAATATCAAAATGCATATTAAAAAAAACTCAAACTCAATAAAACCTTGAAAAAAATTTAAAAGAAAAACTGTCTTAATGTCATATATAAAGCCTTCCTGCAATATAAAACCTGAAACCTAAAAAATTACATTACAGGAGTTTTGAAAGGGTTAAATATTACATAAATGGAAGCAAAATTAAAATTCTAAAGAGATATTACTTTAAAAATTATTTTCTTAATAACAAAATTGCATAATTAGTTTAAATGGGGCTTAAATAACACTACTCCTTAATATAACCCTTATATATATATAAAATAAAAAAAAATCTTAATTTATTATGTAAAGCCTTCCTGCAATATAAAACATGAAAACTCAAAAATTACAGAAGTTTTGAAAGGGTCAAATTCTACACAGAAGGAAGCAAGATTTATTTCTTTTTAACAATAAAGTTGCAAATATTAATCTATATTTTGATTTAACGTCAGGAAATTCTGATTAATTTTTTTTTAATTCAATTATAAAACCTTTATTATTATTATTATTATTATTATTATTATTTTTTTTTTTTTAAAGTTGATTATCAAATATTAGCACAATATTCAGACTGCTACATGTCTCAACTTCAATCAAAATCTTATCTCAAAAAATGATTCTCAGATTACAATGTATAAACTACAAAAAAATAAGCACTTCTGAGCAAGTATGTAGTTTACGAGCTAAAACTCTAGCTCTTGCTTCAAGAATTCACTACATCCTCTTGCACAAACAATGCTAGGATTTGCTTCGTCTGCATTTGTTCATAGTTATCACGAAAACAGAATCACAAACTCTGGCAGCCATCGAAAGGTGTCGTTTTTTATTTCGCTCCTGTATGCATTATTTGCTGGTAGAGGTTTAACTTGTGACTCTTCCAACTGTAATGAAACCCAGAAAATCATTTTAAGCTGCCGATAAGAATGAGAGTACGGCTTTAAGTTAAACTTTTGTAAATGGCGACTTATCCATAAGTTCCAGGACAAGAATGAACTGATGAAGTATACTCACTCAAGTTTTTGTTGACCACATTATCAACAATTCGTTTGTTTGGTGGAACCAAAAGCAGATGAATTTGTATTTGTTTGGGACATCTTTTAGTACTTTACGAATCCAGCGCCCTGAGCTTTCCCCAAAACTGATTCTATGTCACCGAGAAACAGATCGAAATTTTTTGCAGCAGCAAAACCAGCATACATGCCATCCACTGCTGCACTTACGATCCCACCGGCATAGCCTGCTCCTTCACCAACTGGGTAGAGTCCTTTTATGGACGTGCTCTCGTAGGTGTTGTTACTGCGGGGAATCTGAACAGGCGAACTGGTCCTAGTCTGAAAGAAAGAATGAATTTAGCTGAAATTGTTGATAATGGACTGCTATAAAGAAACTATAAAATATCTATCCTAAATTGTCTTAATATCATTCGCTAACAAATATCATTGGAGCTAAAATGGGGCGCAATACCCAGAAAGTATGCAAAAATTAATTCCTTTCAAATGTGAAATGCATACTTACTAAATTACTTAAAAAAAAAAAAAAAAAAAAGAAACCAATGGGATACCTCTACGCCATGAAGAAGAGCAGCCTCAGAGATAAATCCTGGTAACTGAAAATTTCCAAATTTCAACAGAAGTATAAAGTTTACGAGTTGATAATTTTAGACAATTATCATAAATATAAGGAGTTAATGAACAAGAAAAATTTAGGACCTCTTTGTCAAACATTGAGATCGATTGCTTCAATGCATCCGTGATATGAGCAGGAAACAGCTCATGGAGATTCGATGCCTTCACTCCTAGCCGATAGCTTGATGGTGGCAGAGATGTGCCTGACAAAACAAGGAGAGTCAATATAGATGAAGATTTGGAATTAAAATGACTCTGGAATGAGAGAAAAAAAGAATCTACCTGGTAACTTGTTCTCTAAAAAATCCATAACTCTCTGCACGGGAACCACAAAGTTTCCCCCTCCCATCATAGCTGCTCTTTGCTCAAATTCTCGCTAAATAATAAATAGAAGAATCAATATTAATATTTGCTGAGTGTGACAGATCTTGAACCATTATTTTATATATTTTTGTACATTGGCAAGGATCCACCCTCTGCTTGAGAAGAAATTATTATTAATATTTGCTGAGAAAAATTACCTGAAATTCAACCCCAGCAAGAGGTCCATGGAAGTTATATGCCTCAAAATCCTTTGCTGAGACAGTGACAACAAGTGCTGCATTTGCCCATCTGGATGAACGACGAGAAAATGACATGCCATTGATACATAGTTCTGATGGATTAGTACTTGTAAGAACAACCTGAAATCAAGATTTTAGTGACTACGTGAGCAAAATATATTTACGAAAAGTTTCTCATTGCTTTAGATGATTTCTTGACTATTTCTGCAAGAATTTAGCCTAGTCTATCCAACTATATTCAGAAGCCATTTCCAACTTGTGCTAATTCAACTATATTCGGATGATTAACCTCTCATTGCAACTAATTCCAAAACAACCTTTATGAAAATAGTTAACGGGAAAGCCAAGGAATTTCTAATGCATGCAAATTTGTTTGGAAGTCCAGAAAATCCATCTGTAAAAAGACTAAATATTCATGAAAACATGCATTCATAAACTATAACCAGAAGCAAACTACATATTTCAAGGTTAACAAAATAGAAGCAGACCTGTCCACCTGGACACATGCAGAAGGAATAGCAACTACGACTCATAGGCCTGACATTGATGTCCATGTCCTCACCACTAACATACTTAACAACTTTGTAATCTGCAACTGGTACTTTCCCACGTCCATTGCGGACCTCAGCAGCCAATCTGGAATACTACACATTTATAAAAATTTAAAAAGGCAAATGATTCAATTAGTGATGCACTTCACAGAATAGGATGATAACAAAACCCACAAGACAATAGCTTCATATATAAAGAAGTGTTTTAACAATTTAAAGAGTTGAGCCATTCGTTGGGGCATTCATTTATGAGTTAAACAAAAAGAAATGAACACAGCTGACCTGTATACTGTTTATTAGTTGCTGAGGATGCTCAACCCGCAAACCAACCTGTTTAGACAAATAAGTTGTTATAAATAGTGATAAGCTCAAAAGATAAAGCATTTGTAACATGACACACCTCTTATTAATTTTCTTTAAAAAATAGTTTTAGCTACAAAATGACTGACAAACGAAGGCAAATGGGCATTCGATAAAAAATAATAAAAAACAAGATTCCTAAAAGAATGAGAGGTATATAAACATGATAAATGTTTTTTTTATTAATCAACATAGAGAAAAAAGTATGTATAGGAACTTACAGCAAAATCTTTCGGGAGCAGGTCTATATTATGAGAAAGAAGCATTTGATACATATCACGTGCAGAATGCCCAACAGCCAAGACAACTGCATCATAACTCAATTTCTGGAAATCTAACCTAGATACATCTTTTGCGTCAGAAACCTTGACCCCCACAACACTTTCATCCTCTATGATTAGATCATCTACCCTTGTTCCAAACTTGATAGTAACCTAATACATTGAACAATAAACATAAGATGCAAAATATGGAAACATGCAATATGGATGGAAAATCAATGCTAACATGTGCATAAGTTTTTAATTCAAAGATGCAACTCACACCCAGTCTTTGTAAATGTTGGCGAAAGTTGCGAAGTAATGGAATCAACTTATCCGTTCCCAAATGGGGCTTTCCATCAACCAGTATTTTTTCTGGAGCTCCAAAGTGAACTAAAGTGTTCATAACCTAAGAGAAAATTACTTTAAGTCAACATATACCATAGATAACCAATGGTTAAAAAAAAAAAAAAAAAAAAAGGTAAAGACTCTGTTAGTGCAATAGCGCATGGTTAAAATAAGGAGACATAAAGTGGCTTCCACCACAGACATCTAAAATTTACAAACATTAAAAAGCCTTTTCAGGACAACAAAATGTATCTCCAAACTTAGAGATATATAGCAATGAGTCAATGACACAAGTGTAAAACCCAAAAAAGCACTTAATAATGCAAATCTAAGTACATATAAGAGGTACAGAATAACAAAGATAGAGAAATAGTACTGACTGCCAAAACACTTTCACTGTTTCTTCCAATTCTAGTTACCAGCTTTCCATCACTCCAGGTACCTGCACCACCCTGCCATGGATAAGTCCTTAATATAATTTGGCAACCAAAATATTTGCTGTGTTATAATAAGAAAAAAAAAAATCATATTTAATTTAGTGTGGAACACATGGCAAAAAGTCCATAACTTTGGTTTTACACATGCACATGCAGTCTCACTGCCTCTTAAACATTCAAACAGCCTAGAATTCAAAGAGTGGGGAGGGAGTGGGAATGTAAATGAAAAAGGAAAACCAGATTTAATGATATATTTCCATTAGTCTCCAAATGGATGTCATTGACAATTTAAACATCACTCAATTTTAGCCAAGAAAACCAAGAGCTAAGTTATATATGATATAGATAGCCCTGTAGAAAGGTATAAGTCTTTTATAAAAAGAAAAAGAAACAGTTATCCTTCAGATCAATTGGTCAAACATTCAATTGATAAGAAATTCATGAACAATTCATTATAAAATAATAGTAAAGAAACTTGAGTAATGCCACAGCAGAAATTAGCACAAAAGTACTAAAAGAATCAAGATATAACCTCCCCAAAGCAAAAATTGCTCTCCAATTCTAAAATCCGACGAACTACCAAAGCACCAATGTCGCGCCCCCTCTGTTCAACTGGTTGACCTCTTTCAATTAAGGTGACATCTGCACCAAGTTCTGCAAGAACAAGACTAGCAAACAAGCCGGATGGGCCACTACCCACAACAGCGACATTGGGTTTTCTGGTTGTTGGGTACTTACATGATTCCTCAGAGATTTTTTTACAGTCATGTATTATGCTAATCAAGTCACCGGAAGCTCTTTCACGAGGCATATGTTCTACAACCCCAACCTTCGGCTCCAACCGAGAAATGAAGTCCCAAGTACGAGGCTCTAGATCTAAAAGTTTGCTGACATCCATGTCCACAGTGTATACAAACTTTGGTTCCTTTAAAACCTGGAACATCAGTAAGTCAAATTTGTATCATTTATATATCACAGAAACTCTATTTGTTATCGTGTTCTTGCTTCTGCTATCAAGAAAAATTGACAACAAATTGAAAACCAAAAAATAAAAAAAAAGCATTATAGAGTTTTGAACATTCACCATATGAACATACTAACAAGCTTAATAGGCATGATTTATCAAAATGATGCAACTAGTTCATCATTCAGTCCTTGAAGCTCGAAAAAGGAAACTTTAAGCTTCTACATTCAAGTAAGATTAGAGCATATATATGTGATTCTATTCAAGTAGTTTCTCCTAAAATCTTAAAAAAAAAGAAAAAAAAAAAAAAAAAAGAAAAAATCCATTCCAAGTAATTTTTGAGTGGGATCCAAAAAATAGAATTTCAATCTTAAGAAATTCTAATATATTGAATTCAAGTTTGACAGAATTCCAGAATCCAAATTTGAAGTTTTCACAATTAAATTTAGCCTAAGAAATATTAAGTGTTGAACAGCTTAGAATTCATCATGCTTCAACACAATCTCAATGGCCAAATCTATTTCTCAAAATTATCTTATAGATTAATAGCATTCAATCAATCACCTACCAAAGTCATATCCTATCTATTTACTACTTCAATTCATTAAGTGGTCAAATGATTCAAATGCTGGAAGTGCTTTCAAAGAAAGTGCTTTAGCCCAAAAGCCCTTTTAGCAAAATCACTACAAAAAGCTTCTCAAAAAAGCGCCTATCAACTGCTTTCAATGAAGCACTTCTGTTTGTTTCAGCCAAATTGATACTCCTTCAAAGCGACTAATGCTACACACTTCAACCGAGTTCGGACTAAAAATTAGAAAAAGAAGTGCTTTTCACAGTGCAAAACTCCCAAACACACCATAAAACAATCCAAACACTCTCATTTTAAACTCTAAAGTAACAATTTCACAAACCTTCCTCGCATCAAACGATTTCCGTACAACCGAAAACGCCTCCCGCGGCAGCATAGAAGCAACCTACCACAACAAACAACAATAAAAAACCGAACTTTATCACAAAATTGAACTAAAAATTCAAACTTCAACACAAAATTGAACTAAAAATTCAAACTTCATCACAAAATTGAACCAAAAAAACCAAACTTTCTCATCCAAAACTCACCGGAAACTCGAGAACTTTAGCAATTTGCTCAAGCAACCCATCGGAGATGCCGAGAAAGTCCTTTCCCGGGTCTTTATTCACCAAAACGCCGAGTTTTGAGAGCCTCCAAAAGCCTTCGAACTTGTTCTTCACATCAGTGAGGACTTGTTTGTGTTTGAACTTGAGCTTTTTTTTCTCTGAAGGGTATCTCTGTTTGCCGGTTCTCTTGGCGCAGAGGATTGGCGTTGGAGGGAGGGTTTGGCTGCGAGAGTGGGGCTGTCTGGGGGTGGGATAATGGAGTTTGAATTCGGAGGTTGAAGAGTGGAGAGTGAAAGCGAGAGACTTCGATGGAAGAAGAAGGGACATGGCTAGTTGTTTAACTGAAGTGAAGTGGTTTGAGTTCGGATAAGGAGGGTTCACGTGAGGAATTAGTTAAATTTACGAGGTAACGTTACCCCACATGTACAATCAGGTTAGGCCTAGTGTGAAAATATCATCCACTCCAATTTAACAAAACCAGTACTCCCCTACAGCATAGTGATTTTATCAGTTAAGACTTAAGTGTATTGTGTAGCCGAACCGATTTTATAGACTGATTCTTCATCCTACTGATGCGGAGTGCAACATGGTATATCAAAGAACAACCATTAAAAAGATATTATGAATAGAAAAATACTATATTAATCGATTCTACAGACCAATCCTCCATTCTGACTGATGTGGAGTGCAACGTGGAGAGTCCCAAAGCCAATCACGTAACACTCTATGTCAGTCGGGATGAAAAGTCGGCCTAAATGTAGTCTTACTTTTATGAATAAACAGTCTTTTATTTGCAAGAGAAACGGTTAAAATTCAAAATGGTCGACTATTTTTGCTAAAACGCTTGCAATTGGCCTATTCAAAAGTTATTCTACTTGTTAATTTGTTACATTTGACTGCCATAACTTTCATGGGGGAGTGACCAGTGTTAATATCTCTGTTGCTTTGTTACATTTAATTGACAACTTCTACTTGGGAGTGACAGCGTTAGTATCTCAAAACTGGGGAGAGAAGCGTTTAACGCCAAACGCCAAGCCTAGGTCGCATTAACACTTATTTTTAAAGAGTAAACAACATGTTCCCACTCAAGGTTTAACGAAATAGTAAATTTCCATCCTTAATTTCATAAATTTTATATTATCATCCTTAAATTAACAGTTTATGTTTCATTTAATAGTTAAAGTGGTAATTTAAATTATATTAAGAGGGTATTTGTCTAAGGTTATAAAAATTAACTTATAAACAATAAGTGCTTATAAGCTAAAATTAGCTTATAAGCATTTAAAATTTTAAGCAATTACGTATTTGGTTAAAGTATTTATAAGTGACTGATAAGTAGTTGACGTGTTTGGTAAAATATGGCTTATAAATACATTTTATTATAAAATGACTAAAAAGGGTACTATATTATTTTATCAAATAATAAATTATATTAACTTAATTTTTTACTATAATATTATCAAAATAAATTACCAATATCCCAAGTTTTTAGATTCTTTATACAAAATAAACTAATGAATAAATATAATGAATTATAATTATATTCAAAAAAATAAAATTTCAATCAAAATATTCGATTCATGTCTCAATTGAATCATATTAATCCATTCAATTTGCATATGAGAATAACTACACGGTACAAATTTCAGTTGCAATCAAACCACGTATAGCCATCCAATAAGCAGTATTTTCACCATTGGTAAAAGCATTATCTCCATCTGACAAGAGTGCTCCATCTCCATCTAATAAAGACATATAAGTTTCATTCTCAGCTACTTGAAAAGCCATGTTTGGTGTGTTCTTTTTTCTAATGTAGTTGTGAATTGCCATAGTCGCAAGCACAATATCTCGTTGTGTGTCAATATGGAAGGTAGGCATATCTCTCAAAATAGACCAACGTGCTTTCCACACACCAAAAGTTCATTCAACAATATTTCTGCACGACGAATGTAGATAATTGAATTTTTCTTTCTTTCCAGTTGGTGCACGTAATTGCCTTGTTTGAGCACGTTGAAAATCTTCCAAGTGATATCTTACATTTTCTCCTTTGTATGGACTCATATATCCCCACGTATGGGGATATCCAGCATCTACCAAATAATATTTGTTACTTGTTGGATGGGGAAATCCTAACTCTTCTCTACGGAGTGCCTTAGAAAATATGCGACAATCATGTGCAGCACCTTCCCATCCAGCCCATGCAAATGTAAAACACATATTAAAATCTACTACTGCAAGAATATTTTGAGTAGGATACCCTTTAAGTCCAATGTAAGGTATTTCTTCCCCCTGAGGCAATTTAGCTTTCACATGTGTGCCATCTAATGCTCCAATACAATCCTATTAACATGAAAAAATATAAAAATTACTACTTCATACAATTATAATCATGAATCAAATTAATAATAATACTTTGAAAAAATATATATTGCATAATAATCGTTACTTACATCGAAAGGTTTGGATTTTGGATTTTGTGGTTTGTGAATTCCCTTTCCTCCATTGTATTGTGGATGTGGTCTAATAATATCTTTAGCTAAAAGAAGTAAAGCAATCAACACCCTATAGAAATGGTTATGAATGGTTTCACCAGAATGATTAAATATTTCTTGAATCAATCTATTCCCGCAATTGTGAGCACAAATCATCAAGAATATGCCTACGTCCTCATATACCGACATCCCTCGTGTGGGCTTCAAACCATATTTATTGGTTAAATCATGACATAAATCAAGGAAGACAGATTTTGTCAAGCAAATTACTTTAGTGGGTATCAGCAAGGACTTGGTGCGTTAATTATGCATTAATACTCTTTTTCTTCTTATTTTATGTATTCCGTGATAGAATTTCTTCGACTACCTCCTATTGACAAAACATCTAAGCCGATTGAGAATAATGTTAAAGGCTTAAAGCTAATGAAACCTAGAGAGTTCAACGTGCAACTCAAAATCAAGCGAATAGGTCATATCAAATCACTACAAAAATCACACAAGGGAACAGAGACAATGATATATTGAATTAAACAAAAAGCTCTAAACCCTAAATTCCACCATTAAACTAGAAAATTACAAGAACAATTAAGGTATTTACCTTGATGAAGAGAGAGCAGTGAACCCTTAACCCTTCGTGGAAGAAGATTTTTGCTTCACAAATTGAATACAAACAGATAGTAATATGACCTATTTCAAATATAAAAACAAAGGTATACTATGGAATTTTAAAATTAAACAAGGGTAATATACTTGGTCAAACTAGCTTATAAGCAGAGTGTTTATAAGCCCAAAAAAAAAAGTACCTCTCCCCCAAATTTTTTTTTTTTTTTTTTTGGCTTATAGGCTCAACTTATAAGTTCAAAAAAGTTATAAACAAACGGGTCAGCTTAATTTTAGAGTTTATAAACTAGTTTGACTAACTTTTAAGCTTAAACAAACACCCCCTAAATTTGAAATGAATGAAAATTTCAAATAACCCTCTACATTTCAAAGGGTAAATGGCTGGGTGAGGAATTTGGTCAAACAAGTGGTGGGCGGGTTGGCTGAGGGAAGGTTGGAACTGATGGGGAGTCATCCTTGATTTATGTCATGATTTAAACAATAAATATGTTATTACATTTATTTTTTTCTTCATGGGATTTCACTGAACATCTTTACAACTGTTAATAACATCATGAGTTACTCATTTATATTATAGCCTTTTATTGTTTTCTTTCACAACTTACTTCTTATCAATATTTAGTTTCGTTGTTATTGTTCAAATATCATCACCTCAATTTTGTTTAGTTTAATTTCAAATTAGAATAAAGTTCTTTTGTGTAGTTTTAGTTTAACTCCTAATTTTATGCATCGTTTCTTGTATAATGAAATATTGGAGGAAACTAATAAATGGTGGTAACCATTTTTTCTTTAAATTAGAGCTGGAAATTATATAAGTAGTTGAAATCGAAGTAGAAGATTATTTCAGTTTTAATGGAAGCAAGGTTAGATCAAGTCAAAGTTTATCAAGTTTTTAGTTAATCCTTTCATTGTCTCAACAAACAAATAGAGAAACGTACATGGGACTAACACCAAAGAAGACTACAAAGCAAGCAAATGAAGTTAAAATCAAAATAGAAGATTATTTCAGTTTTAATGGAAACAAGGGTAGATCAAGTTTAGTTATTCGTTTATTGTTACTTTCATTAGAGACCTTATTAATTTTTCTCTTATTGTAAATTCCTATTTTACCCTATAATTCCTATTACAATGTAAATACTCATAAAGTTCTTTATATTAGAAGAAAAAAATAAAAATAAACAACATTTCACCTTAGAGAGTGTCTGTGTTCATCCCCATCGAACAGTGGTGAATTTTCCATGGTCATTTTTTTCTATATTGTCAACATCCTCTTGATCAATGGTAAAAAAGAATTTGATAAGAATTAACAGTTGTTATCAACATTCATCCATTAATGATTCACTCAAACTATTGATTATAAATAAAAAAATTAAAGCATTTGGAAGCTTTAATTTTCTCTTAGAAGTGTCTTTGATTTTTTATTTTTTAATTTAGTCGTAATACCTATCACCGTAGCAATAATTTCATGAAAATAATATGAACTTTATTTCATTACTTCTCTGCAAGAATACCAAGATGTGTCAATAAATTTAGTGCTATAATCTTGTAAATTTATTATAAAATTGTAGAGCAGAGAAAGGTTACAACAAAATTTAAAGGTATAGTGTTAATATAAGAAAAGACATGTTTTATAGCTTGTTCAAGATACAATTGTTTAATGACAACATTCTTATTACATGGAAGATTGCCAAGTTTGGAGGATTTTTTATTATAATGAATTAATGAATTTCTAAACCGATCTTTTGATATGAAGCATTAGACAAAAGCCATAGTGGGTAAAGTTATTTGTACAAACTCTTTGTATAAAGAGAGTTTATACAAAGTGATGTGGCATATCATATAAGTGCCACGTGCCATGATGATTCACATAACATTAATGTGACATTAAGTTATGTGGGTCTCAATACCATATGGCTTGTTTTGTAACATGTCACATCAGTTTGTACAAACTCCCTTTGTATAAGAGTTTGTACAAATAATATTACCTATTTATAATAACTTCCGGCTTTTACTAGAAAACTCAAATACCAGAAAGTACCCATCGCAGTACATCACTGAAAAGGCAAAATCCTGCTAAATTTACAACCAAATCCATAATACACAATTGGAGCAACTAATAAACAAAGCAAATATGCAGACAGTCTCAGCAGAATCTGGCATATGCGATACAGGAAATGTAAGATACAAAAAACCAACCAAATCTGAAATCCTACTACACAAAACCGTATCCGGCTAGAAAAACAATAACAGCAATGCCACTCCAAGCAAGACTAGTATTGGAGAAATGCGGCCGCAGCTGCAGCTTCGAGAGATGAAACCTGCAGTTTCTGTTTCAGACTCTAGTACTGTATGACCCAGAACTGCCTGTGAACTCGCAGCAATTTCAAACAAAAAGCCGAGGCATTACAAAACAGAGAAACATCAACCAGGAGGAGACTTTTACAGCAATAAGACCAGCAGTAAGGAGGAACCTGTTTGTTTTTTTAATGAAGGAAGTCAGCCACAAAATCCAATATGAATTAATTGCAGCAAGTTAATATTATGCAAGACAGGCAGCGCAAGCTTGTTGACAAGCATCCATCTCAGTATTCAGCAGCTGCAAAACCAGAAAAGCACAGCGTCATAAAATCAACTATTACTTTGAAGTAGACTACCAGAATCAAGACAACAGGAAACAATCAAATGTTATGATTCTTTTTTGAACCATGAAGTAAAATCTAGGAGTCTGAAGTTAATCAATCGGCAAAGGGAGCTATTATCTTGAAGAAATTCAGTTCTACTTCGCCACAAAGATGTCAACTCGTCACAACTGACCATCTTCAGTTCTTCTACTTTTGATAACCAGTTTGTAAACCTCTCTGTTGGAACCCTAGGGTTAAGTGAACTGTGGTCAATTGTAATTCTCTGCACCACCTGTTTACATCCTTCAACTTCTAATTTGCAGTGTGATGGAAGACTTGGGACTGATATCAACAATTCCTCACAACGTCTCATGACAAGCTTTTCTAGTAAAGGAAGACTTTCTGGCAATCTTCCAACCAGCTTAGAACATCTTATAATAGAAAGTTCTCGCAGGTGAGCAAACCCTTGAGCTTCTTGATCATATCCACGAGGAATCCATTCCTCCCATTCTTTCATATCCTCAAAACAAAGTGTCTCCAAGGATGGAAAAGGCTCTGAGCAACCCTAAAATTCTGAACCGAATATTCTTACTCTATCCATTCCTCTAATAACTAGGTAGTTGAGTAAGGGTTGTTGCCAAACTGATGGCAAATCGGTACACTTTCTACAATTTTTTAATGTAGGACTTACTAAATTCGAGAATGAGAACTCTCCTAACCAACTCGGATTGTAACTCCATAGCCACTGATAACGAGTTTTTTCAAATCTTGATGAGGTCGTAATAAGTCAAGTACCTGTATATTTCTTTCCTTTCTTGAATTGCTAGCACTGCTAATGCATTCTAGAACTATCACGTTAAGGCCCCTCTTGCCATTTAAATAAGCTTTCTTGGCATTCTGAGCATGCACATTCTCCAGCCCAGAAATACAAAGCCTCTCCTTAATGTGTTCCCTAATGTACAGCCACAACTTTTGCCCACCACGAAGTTAGGCAGGGTAATGAGACCAGTTGCATTACCAATTCTAAGAGGTATTTCCCTTGGTGAATAACTAAATATGCATTAGAATTATTGAGATGGTGCAGATTTATTAGGTTCTCCATATCTGCACATAATTTCTCTGGAAAATAACAATTCTCTAATAAAAGCGTTTCTAGGTTCTAAAGAGTACTAATGGATTCTGATGAAGCTTCGATTTTAGTGTGAAAGGTCAAGGTACCGCAGATATTTCAATTCACCAATCGTATTGGGCAGTTAAAAAATATCATATCCACGCAAAGATAAAGTCCTCCAAGTATTGTAGTTTTCACAATATACGAAAAACTTTACCAGTCAAATAACTCCGATGCAAGTTAGCCAAAGCCACTGGTAAAAAGGTTCGTAGGAATTTGGCATCAAAGAAGGCCTCAAACCTTTTAACACCATCATATGGTTCATGAATATAAGATAAATAGCGAAGAGTTTAGAAACTCCACATTGTCCGACATCAAGATCCAACTTATTATCCATCCTTAAGTATATTTCTCCTGCAGCTCATTGAGCAAGATCATTGATGAGATCATGCATCACGAATCATGATTTATCCTTACTTGATTGTTGGAAAAATGACCTTGATTTTAGATCATGAAAAAACTCGCAACCAAAATCTTCCATCTGCTTCTTTTTATTTTTATGCTGCAACAAACCCTCAATGATTTGGGGATGTGTTAACTTTAGCTTTATCTAAAGAAATGATTAAAAATAAACTAATAATGTACTACTTTTTCAAAACCTGAAAACAGGGTGGTTTGAGTTTGGTTTGATATAGAAGTCTATTGAATTTGTTTTAATTTCATCACTGGCAGTATATAAAGAGTGGATGAAGATTTCCAGAAAACTTAGAAATAGCATAAACTGTAAGTTTGGCATGAAAAAATTGCTGTGTATTCAAATACAACAGCCCAAGCCACAATTCAGCAACAGAAATGCAAAATGAAAAGTACAGCGCTAACTCAAATACTGAGGACAAATCTCGGATAACATTTCAAAGATCAGCAACAATATCTAGAATAATTTGTCAACACTGCTAGCAAATTGGAATCTCTCTTTACAGCTGATTTATGTAGATATTCGTAGTAACTGGTGAATACGGAGTAACTAACAAACAGAGCTAATATCCTGATGAATTTACAACCAAAATCCAATATATGCAATCTGAGCAACTGACAAACAAGGCAAACCTGTAGAAGACAATCTCAGCAAAATCTGGAAAACGCAATCCTGGAAAGGTAGGACAGGAAAAGCCAACTAAATCTCTACTATACAAGACCATATAAAGTTGGAACAACCTTAATGTTAGTAAATAAGAGAATGGCTATCCCACTCCAAGCAAGACGAGTATTGGAGAAATGCCAGCAGCAACAGCTTAGAGATATGAAATCTACAAATTCAATCGGTTTCAGACTCCAGTCAGCAGCAAGTGGCATATACTGTATGACCCAGAACTGCCCATGAACTAACTGCAACTGCAAACAGAAAGCCGAAGCATTACAAAACAGAGAAACATCAACCAGGAGCAAACTTGTGGAACAATAATACCAGCAGTAGGGAGTAACCTGTTTGTCACATCAAGAAGGAAGTCAGCCACAAAATCCATCTGAGTTAACAGCAGCAAGTAATATGCCGCAGGACAGGCGCAGCAGCACAAGATTTTTGACAAGCATCTATCTTAGTATTCAGCAGCTACAAAACCAGAAAGGCAGAGTGACATAAATCCAACTATCACTGTGTTCTCGCGCGAAAAGCACGCTAAAAACAATCTAGACTATTGAAATTGACAAACATGATCAAGAGAACAGGAAAATTCAAATGATATGATTTTTTTTTTATCATAAAGTAGAGACTAGGAGTCTGAAGTTAATTCTTATTATTGAAAAATAAAAATATGTTCAAGGGTAACAACTTACAACCTTGTATGTAGAATCTCATATAATAACCTCACTATTTCCAAGATGAATACAAATACAGCAGCCCAACCCCACCCAAGCCACGGTTTCAGCAACCATAAAACATAAACAGCTGTACAGAACCCACGTTTGAGCCAGAGCAAAGCCTCAATGCAGCAGCATAAAAATGCATATGGAGAAAATAAATAAAACCTTGCAACACACCACTCTGAGATGAACATTTAAGCCAAAAATTTCTGGCAGGACTGCAACTCCTACACAAATCAAATATGCAAACAGAATGTCAGCATAATGTGGCAGCTGCAATCGAGGAAACCGTAGGATATAAAGAACAATCCAAGTCATTACTTGAACCACCTGGAACAGCCTCCATTTAGTAAATAGCAGCATTGCAATCGCATGCCAATGCAGACAAGTATTGGGAAAAATGCCTTCAGTACCCATAAACTCAAACTACAAACATAAATCTCATGCATTACAAAAATGAGTAACAACCAGGATTAACTTGTGCTGATATAGGATCAGCAGCAGGGAAGAAAGAGGAACCTGTTTATAGTATATTAGCCGAGAAGAAACTTGGCAATACAATGCAAAGCTACAAGACAGGCAGAGCAGCACAAGCTTGCTGAGAAGCACTCATCAACAGCTGCAAAATGAGAAAAGCACCAAGTCATAAAATCAACGATTACAGTGTTTTTGCACTAAAAGCTGGAACAATCTAGACTGTGAAATAGATTAACAGAATCAAGAGAATAGCAAAGAATCCAATTGTTACAATAGTATTCTATACCATGAAGTTAAGACTAGTAGTCTGGAGAGACCACGCCGAATTCTTATTACATCCATTGGTTTCCATACATTTCAAATATGAAAACCAAGATACAATGTATATGTTTATAAAGTTTTATAGTTATGTATATCATTTATATTGACGTATTAAATTTCATAACTAAGGGACTTTTTAAATTTTTTATCTGAAAAGAATATACAACCGGTAATTAGCTGCATTTACAGTAGAAAACCAAAAATATACACTGGGACAGAATCTGGAGACTGGAGTACTTCTATACGTTTTAAATGCTAAATAAAACAACTCGGCAACCCCTTCATTGCCTGTCCTAGATCCGAACACAAAAGTATAAAATAAATTTGAGAAAGGGGAAAATCAAGCTATTCTTAAATGAACCCACCATCTGAACAAACTAAATTGCATAAAGTTTTAAAGGTTAGGGAAATCTGGTCACGTGTGACTTTCTTTAGGTAAATTATTTAGCAGCTGCAATACCACATCAGTTATACAAGCAATACTTTTGACATTAATTATGGCTTTTGTGAAAATATTTAAACCAGCTAACTATTATTGTGGTCACATAATGTAAAATTTTTAACTCAAATTTTAGACAATCAAAATACTTAGGAAAATAAGTATACCTTCTTATAGAGAAATTTGAAAGGGACCTTCTTCCTTCTTGTTGTCTTTTCGGCCCATTGTAATTGTAGACATCTCCATGAATATGAATATCTATTTGGATGTAAGGTATGTGTGATATTATGGGCCAATAGCGTCCTTCATACTTTTTGCACCTTTGTTTTAGTATCGGACATCTGGTAATCTTTAGTTGCAAAAGTGAAGAAGGTAGGCCTTCCTCTGGAAAGGATTTGAGCTTATAACAATTATACAGAGAGAGTTTCTCCAAAGAAGTTAAGTTTCGAATATCATAGGATATGCATTCCAGATTTGGAAAATTGGATATTCTCAAACAAGTTAGAGAGGTAGGAAGCATCATTCCTATCTCTTCCAGTGGAAATGACACCACATCTGGACATCCTCCATCAATCGTGAGATCTGTAAGAGAAGAGAGTCTATGCAACCCCCAATCAAATAATGGCTTACAGAATTTTGCATCTTCAATGCAAAGTGAAGCGAGGCTGGTGGGAAAGCCATTTACAGGGAAAGAGATCATACTTGGACACCATCCTATGGATATATCTTTAAGAGAAGTAAGATTGTGGATACGATTCGGGAGGGCCCCTAGTTCCTCACAGTTGGATATTTCGAGCTTTCTCAGGTTCATTGACGGCAAACCTTCTTCTGGAAAGGAAACAAAACTTGGACAGCCTTGTATAGTGATCTCTTGAAGATGACAGACCTTGTGAAGATTATAAGGTAGCACTTTAATATTATTACACCAAGAAATCATAATTCTTTCAAGAGATGTGTGATTTTGCAATCGTTCTGCTATCGATTCAAGCCTTGAGCAGCAATAGATATTGAGACATTTAAGAGCCTCAGGTAGATTCTCACTTGATGATAAGGAAACAAGTTTTTCACAATTCCAAAGCTCAATGTATTCAAGTGCGGCTGGTAACTCACTTTTTGACCACAACGATGTGAGAGAATCACAACTCTCAATATACAAGTACTCAAGAAGAGAGGGATTTCTTTTGTTCACACAGTAGCTTATTTCCTTGTGCATTATTGAAACTCCCTCCTCGTCAACCAAAGTCCATAAATTTTCACAATTATTGACTCTTAGCCGCTTTAAATGTGAAGATAGCTGAACTCTCGCAATGTATGTCAAAGAATTACAAGCGTGAACAGACAGACTTTCAAGAGATGTATTGCTGTTGTACATCCATGCCTCTGGTAAGGATTTAAGTGCATAGCATTCCGAAATTTCAACAACTCTCAGCTGAGGTGGCAAACCAGTCTCAGGAAACGAAACAAGTATAGGGCAGTCCTTGATATGTATCTCTGTAAGAGAACTAAGGCTGAGAATTGCTTGCGGTAGCTTTACAAAGTATTCACATCTAGACAATTTTAGATATTGAAGTTTGCAAGGCAATCCCTGCTGTTGTTGCTCTTCTTCTTCCTCTGCCACCAAGGAACAAAGCTGGGGACAATCCTCAATCACCAATCGGCAAAGAGAGGCATTATCCTGAAGAAATACAGTTCTACTCTGCCACAAAGATGTCAGATCTTTACATCCTACCATCTTCAGCTCTTCTACTTTTGATAACCCATTTGTAAACCTCTCTGTCGGAACCGCAGGGTTTAGTGGGCTGTGGTCAATTGTACTTCTCTGCACCACCTGTTTACATCCTTCAACTTCTAATTTGCAGAGTGATGGAAGACTTCGGACTGAAATCAGCAATTGCTCACAACTTCTAATGACAAGCCTTTCTAGTAAAGGAAGACTTTCTGGCAATCTTCCTACCAGCTTAGAACATCTTATGATAGAAAGTTCTCGCAAGTGAGGAAACCCTCGAGCTTCTTGATCGTATCCATGAGGAATCCATTCCTCCCATTCTTCCATACTCACAAAATAAAGAGTCTCCAAAGATGGAAAAGGATCGGAACAACCATAAAATTCTGAACCAACAATTCTTACTCCTTTCATTCCGCTAACAGCGAGGTACTTGAGCAAGGGCAGTTGCCCGACTGATGGCAAATCAGTAGACTTGCTACAATTTTCCAATGTGAGACGTACTAAAGTCGAGAAAGAGGAATCTCCTAACCAAATCGGAAAACTTGTACCCCCATAGCCACTGATAACGAGCTCTTTCAAACCTTGATGAGGTCGTAACAAGTCAAGCACCCGTGTTTCATTTCTTTCCTCTCTTGAATCACCAGCACTGCTACTCCATTCTAGAACTATCACATTAAGGCCGCTCTTGCCATTTAAATCAGCTTTCTTGGCATCCAGAACATGCACATTCTCCAGTCCAGAAATACAAAGCCTCTCCCTGATGTGTTTCAAGGACTTCAACTCTCCTAATATAGACCCACTACCTTTGCCTACAACAAAGTTTCGCAGTGTAATGAGACCAGTTGCGTTACCAATTCTGAGAGGCATTTCCCTTAGTGAATATGCATTAGAATTATTGAGATGATGCAGATTTATTAGGTTCCCCATATCTTCACATAATTTCTCTAGAAAATAACAATTCTCTAATAAAAGTGTTTCTAGATTGTAAAGAGTACTAATGGATTCTGATGAAGCTTCGATTTTAGTGTGAAAGGTCAAGGTACCGCAGATATTTCAATTCACCAATCGTATTGGGCAGTTAAAAAATATCATATCCACGCAAAGATAAAGTCCTCCAAGTATTGTAGTTTTCACAATATACGAAAAACTTTACCAGTCAAATAACTCCGATGCAAGTTAGCCAAAGCCACTGGTAAAAAGGTTCGTAGGAATTTGGCATCAAAGAAGGCCTCAAACCTTTTAACACCATCATATGGTTCATGAATATAAGATAAATAGCGAAGAGTTTAGAAACTCCACATTGTCCGACATCAAGATCCAACTTATTATCCATCCTAGAGTATATTTCTCCTGCAGCCCATTGAGCAAGATCATTGATGAGATCATGCATCACAAATCGTGATTTATCCTTACTTGATTGTTGGAAAAATGACCTTGATTTTAGATCATGAAAAACCTTGCAACCAAAATCTTCCATCTGCTTCTTTTTATCTTTATGCTGCAACAGGCCCTCAGCCATCCATAACAAAATAATCTCCTCTTTTGGAAATTCATAACCCTTTGGAAATATTGAACAATATGCAAAACATGGTTTTAAATGAGAAGGAAGGCAATAGTAACTTACCTTCAAAGTTGACATAATGTTACTTCTCTCTTCTGGTAAATCCCATACTTTGCTATTTAACACTTCTTCCCAATCACTATAGTTGAGTTTACCACGTAAAAGGCCACCGAAGGTTTCCGCTGCCAAAGGCAAGCCATTGCACCTGCTTACTATCTTCTTGCCAATGCCTTTTAAGTGTTGATGCATACTAAAATCTGTTCTTCCCAATGAACACCGTGTGAATATACACAAACAAGCTTCATTTGACAACTCTTTCATTGGATAGGCTGGAAGAGTACCCATCATTGTCGAAACACCTTCATTACGAGTTGTGACAATAATCTTACTTCCTGGTGACCCAACTTCAAATGGACGGCGTAAGACAGTCCATTCATTAGGATTCTCGTTCCAAATATCATCCAAGAGAAACAAAAACTTCTTCTTAAACAATTTTCTTTTCAGTTCCTCTTGAAGCTTGTTAAAATCTTTCTCGTCTCCCTTATTTATAGTTTTGTGAATGGAACGTAGGATTGTTTTTGTGATCCTGATAACATCAAATTCTTCCGAAACACAAACCCAAGCTTTAAGATCAAAATGTCCTTCCAATCTAACATCATTATAAGCAAGTTGAGCAACAGTTGTTTTGCCCACCCCACCCATCCCTGTTATAGGAATAACAGGGATTCCATCATCGGTACTTAAATCATCCCTCAACAATAATTCAACTATTGCCTCGTGATCCCTTTCCCTACCAAAAACTTTGGCTTCATTCACCAAAGAGGATGTGGGTAGTCTTTGTCTGGCATTTCTGGACTTTCCTCCTGAATATTCTCTCAAACCCAGTTGGTCTTTTTGGGTTGCAATATCTTGCAATCTGGTAGTGATCTCCTTTATTTGGGACATCATCATGGAATTGAACTTTACAGTCCTTGGATTCAAGGAGCTACAGAAGGAAGGGATTAGCTTCCGTACCTTACTTGTGCTGGCTTGATCAGGATCATTCAACAATTTTCTCCGCAAAGCTTCAGTGGCAAACTCATCCAGCATGTCTTCCACGTCGTAAGCCAAGTTCCGAAGTTCAGCCAGCCAGATCTTCACTGTCTCCTCCCTCACTTGCTTCTCCTCTGCGTCGTGAAGCACTGCCTTAATCTTCAACAATATTTTCTTCCACTTGCTAAGATCTTCTTGGATTAGATCCTGGTTTGCAAACTGCAACAGTGCAGTTGAATCCAACTTTTTGAACAGCATGTCAATAGAAGCAGTCAGAAAGGCCTCACCAACGATAGACATAATTTCTCTAAAGAAAAACACAAAAGAATTAAGCAAAATGAAGTCAAGAATTTCAGTAGATCCAAAAATATTGAAGATATTTAGTTTGGTTTGTCAAAGCTCAAGCATTCAATTTGAATATTTCAAAAGTTAAATAAAAATTAGGAATATCAATATCAATCTAAAAAATGATTGAAGTAAAGTCGTCTTCAAAGGTCTTTACCCAACCTTCGAAGAAAGGAGGGGAATTTTATAAAAAGGCCATTTGAAGTTAAAGTTTAATTAAAAGGCTATAGTTTGTAAATGTTTTTATTGAACTTAATTAAACATGATTAGGGGTTAATTAGGATTAATGAATAATTATGTAATCTTTTAAAAATTATAATATATCTTCAAAGAGTCGAAATTCTTACAAACAAACCCAAACACCTTCTTCTTCTTCCTTCCGTCACATTAATGCATTCCTCCACTATTAACATCTTCTTCAATACAGATTCTCCTCCTCCTCCTCCTGACATTTCGTCCAGGTATGTGTATCTCCCCTTTCGATTTTATATTTCGATTTACAAAGATTTAATGATGGATCGGGTTTGGGTTATGATTTTGATTTAGTTGTTTAAGTTGTTGGGTTGTATTTGATGTAATGGAAGTTGAAATGAGTGAAATTTGTTGAAAATTTTCTTGCATTGTGGGTATCTGGGGGTGGTAGCACCAATCGTAGGTGGAGAGGACTGAAAATGTGTTATGGATATGATGGATCGCTTAAGCGATCTGATACGTCTAGTAATGCAGCAGATAGATCGCTTAAGCGATCAGGTATATGGCATAAGATCGCTTACGCGATCTACTAAAAGTCTGGTGTATAGCAGCAGATCGCTTAAGCGATCAATAAATGGCATAAGATCGCTTAAGCGATCATGCTTATTTATACTGGATCGCTTAAGCGATCCAGTAAACGATATATCAGATCGCTTAAGCGATACACCAGATTTGTCAAGCGACTGTGCAGATGCTTTTTAAAATATTTCAACCCTTAGTACATTAGTTAAGAATATTTTTTTTCTTACATTATAGGTAGTTGGCTATTATTAGACATAGGACAAGTTGTTTTGGGTGTTGAATATTTTGGTGAGTGGGTGGAGGAAGAAAGTAGCTGGAAGTGGATTAGGAAGAGCAAATAAGTTATACAAATTGCTGTGAGCACAGAGGTTAGTTTTGATGAGTTGATTGATGAAATAATTAGAAAAGGTAATATGAGTTGCTCACGTAGTGATATAGTTGTGAAATATGCTTTAAGCAGAGTTCCTGAACATTGTAAGGTATCTCCTGCTATATTAAAGTCAGATGAAAGTGTGAAGTTATATATGATTGATGTGGCCGATAATGGTTCGAGGCCGATTTTAAGGGTTTCTTTTGTAGAAAAACCGTTGGAAGTTGGTTAAAAGGAAGGGGATTACTATGATGTTGGCAGAGATTTGCCTGGTTTTAATTTGAACTACGAGGGCATTGATTTGTTAGTTGAAAAATCAAGAGTAGACGGTGAATTGGGTGGTGAGGAGGACAATGTAGAAGAGGTTGGTCATGGGCGGCAGAATGAAAATGTTGAGGAGGAGGACCCTGTACATGTTCCCGCATATGTAGAGATTCCTTTAAATATAGATTATGCAGAAGGTGTAGTTTGTGAGGAAGAGAATACTATGGTTGTTAATGCAGGTTCAAAGGGGGCAATTGCAGGTAGTAGTGAATTAGCTCATATTTTTACAGATGGATCGGAGTTGCGCATAGGATATTTATTTGACAACAAAGAGGAAGTGGTGAGGAAGCTAAAACTTGTTGCCGTGAGAGGTAATTTTGAGTTCATCACTAGAAAGTCAAATTCATTGGTTGTGACGGTTGCATGTCGTGATCGAAAGTGCAAGTGGCGAGTTTATTGTAGAAGGTTGGCGAAGTCCCAAAAATTTATTCTTAGCACATATACCCGTGAGCACACATGTGGTTTAGGACATATTTTAGGTGAGCATCGACAAGCGTCCACTGATGTTATTGGACAATTTGTCAAAAGTCAGTTCGTTGAAGGGAAATGTCCATCTCCTAAAGACATTCAGAGACTTGTAGGCACAGAGTTGGGATGTGCTATTAGTTACTGGAAATGCTGGAAAGGGAGACAACATGCACAAGATTTTGTGAGGGGCACGCCAGGGCACGGGTACGCAGTATTAGAAACGTACCGTTATATGCTTGAGTTGACAAACCAAGGTAGCAAGACGGCTTTGAAGTGGGATAGGAATATGATGTTTAAACATTTTTTTGTTGCTTACGGTTCTACTATAAGGGGTTTTGTAAACATGAGAAAGGTGTTGGTTGTTGATGGTTGCTTTTTGACAGGAAAGTATGGAGGTACATTGTTGGTGGCCACTGCACAGGACAGTGAGAATCACACATATCCTGTTGCATGGTGTGTGGTTGACTCTAAGAATGACAAGTCGTGGACTTGGTTTTTTCAACAATTACGTACGATAGTGCCTGACAGTGACAAGTTATGCATAATATTCGATAGACACAACTCTATAAAGAAGGGGGATTACCACTATTTACCCTCAAGCACATCACAGATTCTGTATGAGGCACCTTGGTGAGAACATAAAACAAAAGTTTAAGTGTGCTGGCCTTCTTCAGACATACTACATGGCAGAAAAAGCTTATCGGGTTGATGAGTTCGAGGAGCACTTCCAGCAAATCCGAATCAAGGATGATAGAGTTGCTAATTATGTTGAGCATGATGTTGGTTTCGAGCGATGGAGTAGAGCTTACTTTCTTGGAAGAAGGTTTGATGTCATGACCACGAACATAGTTGAGCCATAAATTCAAAGTTGTTAATAGAAAGAGAGTTTCCATTGCACTTTTTGATGCAATCCAAAGGACATTGTCACGGTGGTTCCATAAGCTCGTACGGAATTAGATAATTTTACTACAACCCTTGTTCCGTCAGCTGAAAAATTATTACGAGAATGTATGGAACTGTCAAATGCACTGTTTGCCTATCTTCTTAATGCTTAAGAGTTCACTGTGCGTGACTATAGTCTGGATGCCCTAGTTAACCTTGTTAGTAAAACTTGCAGCTGTAAAGTGCTTGATATTCAACGTTTACCTTGTCCTCATGCACTAGCAGCACTGAAACACCAACGGAAGCTAGATTTTGGTTGAAGAATTAACATGGAACTTTGCTCCCCTCTCTATATAGCAAATCACTACATGCTAGCTTATTCAGAAACGATATATCTAGTACCTCCAGAAGAGCAATGGGTAGTGCCGCCAGAGTTGGCTGACATTATCATCCATTCGCTATTCAAGAAGACAACAAAGGGGAGAAAATGAGTTAAGCGTATTCCATCAGCCTCTTAGGTTCCCCGAAAGATGAATAAGTGCTCAATTTGCAAGCAACCTAGCTACAAGAGAAGCAGTTGCCAGAAGTAATCACATGCAGATCCAGAAAATCAGGTTCGAAGAAGGATAAAATTCAGGGAGTTGCCAAGGCCAACCGTTGATGAGTTATTGTTTTCAATTATTGATGTTTTAAATTTTATTGTTACCTTGAATAAATCATTCGTTATATTTAGTATTCTTGTTACATGGCCTAAATATGTGTTAGTGATTTTAGTTTGGAATTAGGTTGTCAAATTGAGGAGAAAGTATGGAATTAATATGTGTTGGTAATTTTAGTTTGTCAAAATTCAGGAGAAAAGATGGAAAAGTATGTATTGCCCATGATCGCTTAAAAGGATCGGTTAAGCGATATCATGGATCGTTTAGGCAATTGTGCACCTAGAAAGATATTGATTCTGCCCATCACATGATCGCTTAAGCGATCTAAGATCGATTAAGCAATCATCGACCAAGTGAAAAAGAGAAGAATCGCCTAAGCGATATCACGGATCGCTTAGGCTATCATGCACTTGAGCAGATATTGATTCTGCCCCGGACTTGATCGCTTAAGCGATCTAAAATCGCTTAAGCAACACTGTGTAAAATCAAAGAATCGCTTAAGCGATCGTGCATCTGGCAGATATTGATTCTGCATCGGACTTGATCGCTTAAGCGACACTGTGTAAAAGCAAAGAATCGCTTAAGCGAGACCCTATATCGCTTAAGCGATTTTGCATCTGGTAGATATTGATTCTGCGTCAGACTTGATTGCTTAAGCGATAGAAAATCGCTTAAGTGACCCTGTGTAAACGCATATAAATCATCGCTTAAGCCAGACCCAGTGTAAGATTTGAAAATTAACAAAACACCCCCTAGGTTTGTTAAATAACTAAACACCCCTGTAATGAAAATATTAAAGTTACAAAAACACTCCCACTCACCCATTAAATTCTGGCAGCCGGTCACCACAACTGGAGGGTTGCCAGAGTCACTGTATCAGCTCACAACCGTCTAAAACTGGCTGGGCGTACCTTGAGATGGCCTTTTCCAACCAGATCCACCGTGGATCTGGCTGAAAAGGGCCAAATCTATGGCCAGATGTGGCCATGTTTGGTCGTCAACGATGGCCATACCTTGGCTGTCGTTGATGACCAGTAACGGCCAAATCTATCAACGACGGCAATACCTTGGCCGTCGTTGATGACCAGTTACAACCAAAGAAGTTGGGCTGGAACTAGCCGAAAAATTATAGATCGGCGCACTACCAGCAAGATGAAGTTGGTTTGTTAGTTCTTGGCAAGAAAGTATTCTTATTGAAGGAATCGTATTTAATTATTTTTTTTCCCAAGAACTAACACAAATAATAGAATAATAATAAATCATTCAGTTTTCTGTACGGTGCTGACTGACAAAGACCGAAGTGTTATTTTCTCATTCTATTGAAATGAAAAAAATTATTAATAATAATAAATATTAAACAAAAAAGGACTACCAACAGTAATAGAATAACCGTAGATCATTTAGTTTTATGTGCAGAGTTGTAACTCTACAAAACCATTTTCACAAACAATCTGTTGATTAGTCATTCAAACTTCGTTTACTCCTTAAGAAGTTTCCTGTGACACCCTAAGCCACTTTGAGAAGTTTCCTTTCATTGTTTGCCAACAACCCGCAAAATCATCAAGCACAACTGTAGCCACGTCAGCTTTTCTAAATTTAAAAAAAAAAAAGTCAAAAAGATTTTTAGGGCCATTTTGTTAAATGGAAACTTGGGATGTCCGGGGAGTTAAATTTTCTCTCTTCACGAACCCAACTATTGCTTTCACCATCTGTTAATTTATTTAACCAAACTAAGCTTAAAGTAGGAGTCTCACTCGCTTTCACGAACAGAGGGAAGCCGAAACAAAAGCTTTTATTGCATAAAATGTTTGCGTCCAAAGAAGATAAGTTATGGAGTGCAAGATTGATAAGTTCACTGAGTCTATCTCTTTCTGTAAAGCTCTGTATAAGCATGACACCTGCAGCATCAGCACCATAACCCAGGTATCAACATCAACATCACATAAACTACAAAATTCAAAGTCCAACTTCCATA